TGTGCTAGATACTTTTGGAATGCAGAAAAACACTGTATAAAGATGATGGCGGACAATTGGTTGAATTGGTGCCATGAATTCCTTCCTATGTCCAATCGTATTCAGTCTGTTTAAGTGAAACCTTCATGAGAAAGAGAATGTGGATATGCCTCGGGGTGCTCCTCAATTGTGTGGTTGGACGTATTCTGCCATGTGTGTCTCTTTATTGCAACGTCTATATGAAGAATTGAAAATTTTCTGTGTTGGGACAGAGTTCAATTGAAGCTTTCAATGGCTTGAAACATCTTGCCACGCTTTTGTTATTCTGTGCTTCTCTGCCCCACCCCCAATTTTTAAACCATCTAGCCTATGAAGAGTTCTGGAGAATCTGAAAGTTTGCACAATTTTTTGAAATTCTAGTTGGTCCCTAATAATAGCATTTTCTGTCTGGGGAATTTTAATTTTGTTTTGTTCACAGTTGAGATCCTCCCATGAAAGCAAGCAATGGAGTATCCTTGGGTGATCCGGATGAATAGTTTAATGGTAGAACATGTGACTTGTATTTGCAGGCCCTATGCTCAATCCCTGGTGTCCCTAAGAAGGGCTTGGAAAGATATGTATCTGGAGAGTGACTGCTATTCTTTGCTCACAATATGGACCCTCAGGGGGCCACAACATATTCACAGGGAGACTGTGAAGGCTTGAAGAAATGTTACGATCTAACATTTAAACAGAAATACAGTGGGGTCTTGACTTAAGAACGGTTTGAGTTAAGAACATTTTGACTTAAGAACCGCTCTCATAGGAAAATATTGACTTGACTTCAGTACTTAGATTTGAGTTAAGAACTGAAAAAAAACCACGTGGGAGGCAGGGAAAGTGCAAAATTTGAACTTTCAGTTAACTGTTGGCCAGTGAAAAGGGTGCCTGTCTGCTTCCTCACTCCTCCCAGCGTTTGGAGAGTGGATTGGGAGACAGTCTTCAGACCGCCTGGTACTGTACTGGACTGTATTTTCCCTGCCTTCCCTGAACCTTTCTTGACCTAAGAAAAAAAAGAAACAAAATATCCCCCTCTAGTGGTCGAAGGCAGAATAGCAGCTTCCCATTAGTTTCTATGGACGGAAAAGACCAGATACGGATCAAATGGTTTTCAATGCATTCCTATGGGAAATGCAGACTTGACCTGAGAACTTTTTGACTTGAGAACCGCCTTCCAATACGGATTAAGTTCTCAAGTCAAGACCCCACTGTAGATGATCGTATGTGACCGCTGTCTGCAATGGGTTACACAAAAAAAGATGAGTTTCTCAAGAACTGCTAATTGTTGGTTTTATTTTTTGCTTTACATTTTTGCTAGGTTTGTACTGCATGGCCAGTTGCAGGATTTCCTGGAGGAAGAATTGGCTTGAGTAAAATTACACAGAAAAACTTGAAGGTGGGATCTGGCGATGCAGTCACTGTCCAGCCTGTGACTGGTGCAATGTTGCAGGCAGAGGAAATAGAAGTGAAGCGGAGGTATGTCAATATAAATGGATGTGGTGCTATTGCTCAGTGGTCAAGATTCAGAACAGGGCTACAACTTATGATCTGAAAATTCCATAGCACACTGAAAGATAATCTTTAAAGATCTCAGTTTCCTGTATTACAGAAATTATGGTATTGGACGTGTAAAAGAAAACATTAAAATTCTTATTCTCATAGACGTAGGTTGTCTCAGCTTTCTAATGATAAATGTTCATACCTTATGAGAGGCTTGAGTAAGATGTGGATCATGATTTTTTTTACAAGTTTCTGTAATTTGCTCAAATTGTCTATAGGCAAAACTAATGCTCTTTTGAGAAGCAAAGTACATGGACATGTACACAAATGCCAAACAGAGAATAACCAGCTGATTGTTTTTTAAATAAAGATGAAAACAAATGCTTCAATTATTTTAACAAATTAATTAATTAATCGAAATATTTTACCCCACCTTTCTCCTGAAAAAAAGGACCCAAGGTGGCTTACATCATTAAAAGACAATCTTTAAAGCTAAGAAGAGTAAGTATACAAATGCTAAAAAGGATCAAACAAATAACACACTACAGTGGTGCCCCGCATGACAACGATAATTCGTTCCCCTGAAATCACTGTACAGCAAAATTACCATCATGCGAAAACAGTTTCCCCATTGGAATGCATTGAAAACCGGTTAATGCGTTCCAGTGGGGAAAATACCTCGTCATCCAGCAAAGATCCTCCATAGGGCAGCCATTTTGCTAGCGCCAATCAGCTGCTTTTAATCGCTGTCTTCCAAAGCATGGGTCCAGAAAACAGCAGGAAGCCATTTTGCGAATCTGACGATCAGCTGTAAAGATCGTTGTCTTGCGAATAAACGGTCCGCGAAGCACGGACCAAATCATTGTGAAGCAGAATTCCCGCATTGAAATACCTGTTTTGCAAATTGCTATAGCGATTGCAAAAAGTCATCGTCCTGCGGTTTCGTTGTTTAGCGGGGTCGTCAACATGGGGGGCACCACTGTATATGTTAACAACACACTAAAAATAACGCACTAAAATAGGCAAAACAAAAGCAATAGGAAAAATATATTCAGAGCGGTTGTTGGTTAGTCGTGTCCGACTCTTCGTGGCCCCATGGACCAGAGAATGCCAGGCCCTCCTGTCTTCCACTGCCTTCCGGAGTTGGGTCAAATTCATGTTGGTCACTTTGATGACACTGTCCAACCATCTCATCCTCTCTCGTCCCCTTCTCCTTTTGCCTTCACACTTTCCGAACACCAGGGTCTTTTCCAGGGAGTCTTCTCTTCTCATGAGATGGCCAAAGTATTGGAGCCTCATCTTCAGGATCTGTCCTTCCAGTGAGCACTCAGGGTTGATTTCCTTTAGAATGGATAGGTTTGTTCTCCTTACAGTCCAGGGGACTCTCAAGAGCCTCCTCCAGCGCTACAATTCAGCAGCATCAATTCTTTGTCAGCTTTCTTTATGGTCCAGCTCTCACTTCCATACATCACTACAGGAAAAACCATAGCTTTGACTATGCGGACTTTTGTTGACAAGGTGATGTTTCTGCTTTTTAAGATGACTTCAAGGTTTGTCATCACTTTCCTCCCAAGAAGCAGGAGTCTTTTAATTTTGTGACTGCTGTCCCCATCTGCAGTGATCGTGGAGCCCTAGAAGGTAAAATCTCTCACTGCCTCCATATCTTCCCCTTCTATTTGCCAGGAGGTGATAGGACCAGTGGCCATGATCTTGGTTTTTTTGGTGTTGAGCTTCAGACCATTTTTTGCACTCTTCTCTTTCACCCTCATTAAGAGGTTCTTTAATTCCTCCTCACTTTCTGCCATCAGAGTGATATCATCTGCATATCCGAGGTTGTTGATATTTCTTCTGGCAATTTTAATTCTGGCTTGGGATTCCTCCAGTCTGGCCTTTCGCATGAAGTATTCTGCAAATTAGTTAAATAGGCCGGGGGACAATATACAGCCTTATCGTACTCCTTTCCCAATTTGGACCAGTCACTTGTTCCTTATCTAGTTCTGTTGCTTCCTGTCCCACGTATAGGTTTCCTAGGAGATAGATTCAAAGCAGCAAGACACAGTAATCCATTTAAAAATCCTAGTCAGGCAACCAGTTACTCAGGGAAAGCTTACCTGAAGAGAAAGGTCTTTGCTTACTTGTGGAAGGAAGGCAAAAATGGGGCCAGCCTTAATAGCCATAATGATTTTACACAATTTGCTTTATTTCCCATAAGCACAGATTTGCAGAATTTGCACAAAATATTCTTGTTCTTTTGTTAACCACTACACGATAGCTTGTCTTCTTGAAAGGCAAGAAGAATTATCCTTAGGTATGAGGATGATAGAAGCAAGGATTTACATCCCTAGTACACATATGATCTTTAAGCTTGTGATACAAATGGAGGCACCACATGAACAATGTTTCTTGAGTATAAATGGACCACGGCTTGTTTTGCTCTTACAAGCTGCTTTAATACATATTTTTTCTTATGAATTTAGAAAAGCGTATTAGTTGGAATTCTATTTCCATAACTTGTGTAACAAAAGGAATTTCCCAGTGCGCGTGGGGGATTGAGAGAGAGAGAGAGAGACCCTGTTTCTAAAATTTCCCAGACAGTGAGCTGGCTGATAGATTCTCAGTGGCATGTTATTACTGAGATAAAAATAAGATTTTGTTGCTGACATAAAATCATTTAAAGTTTACTGATGTGAAGAATATCATTCCATGGTGTAATGTTTTCTTACATTTGTACAGAGCTAAAGATGATTGTCTTAATGGTGATGAGCTGTCTGCCAATGTCCTGAGAAGTCTAGGTATGACGTTCTTGCTTTTGTTATCCTATGCACTACAACCAAAAAGTTGTACAGTGGTGCCTTGCATGACGGGCGCTCCGTTTAACGATGAATCTGGTGCCTTGCATGATGGTCGCTTCGTTTAACGATGAATCCGCATTACGATGAGATTTTTGGAATCGCAAAAGCGATCATAAAACAACATTTTGAATGGGGAAATTTCACTGCGCGACGATCGGTTCCCTGTTTCGGGACGACGATCGGTTCCCTGTTTCAGGAACCAGTTTTTGTTTTCTGACGATCAAAACAGCTGATCGTTGGGGTTTCAAAATGGCCACTGGGTGCTCAAAATGGCTCCCTGCTGTGTTTAGGAGCTATTTTTCGCTGCACAGGCGCTCGAAAATGGCCGCCCCTATGGAGGATCTTCGCTGGACGGTGAGTTCTTAGCTGATTGGAACGCATTAACCAGGTTTTAATGCATTTCAATGGCTTTTTAATTTTCGCTTTACAATGTTTTCGTTCTACAGCGATTTTGCTGGAACGAATTAACGTAATGTGAGGTACCACTGTAATTCCTTTAACAATAACAAAAAATTGAGTTAAACAGTACTCTGCTTCTTTATGTTAAAAATAACAAAAACCTGAGTTAAACAGTACTCTGCTTCTTTATGTTTTTGGCTTTCTTATTTCTCACCTAACACATGACACATTTCATATGCAAAGATGGGATTTCAAGGATGGCATAAATCAGGAGACTTGAAAGTTCATGAATAAACAATTCAGTGTCCTATATTTCTAGTTCTTTTATATTTGAAGCACTGAAAATGGTACTGAAAATAGAAGTCAAAACTTTATAGAAGGATGGTTTTGCAAACTATGCAGCTTTTCAAGGTCTGCTTTACAGAAGAATAACTCAGCCTCAAGAATAAGCCTGGAAGTGGCTCACTGTTAAAACAACACAATAATGTGACTCTTGCTAATGAAAAATAACATTATGTGTTAATATAGCTTTCCACAGTCAGGTGCCCCCCCCCATGTATTAGATTGCAACTCCTTGAATCTGCTAGTGGGCTGCAAATGTTGGGCTTTGCAGTCAAATACACCTGGAAGGCACCCCGTTCGGAAGACTGCATTAGGGAATATTTGAAAAAGGCTGCAAATGTTGGGCTTGGCAGTCAAATACACCTGGAAGCCACCCCATTGGGAAGACTGCATTAGGGAATATTTGAAAAAAATGAATTGAAAACTTGAAAATGCTTAGGATTTTTTAAAATCTGCTTCTTTAATTTTTTATATAGATGGGAAAGTTGTTTTACCAGGCAACACCTTGGAAATCACTTTCTATGGCCGATCTTGTGACCTGATGGTTACAGTGGTGAAAGGAACAGATGGTAGGACTCTGAAAATGCAGAATGACTCCCTTTTAAGGCGAACAGGAGAAGTGTCACTGGACTATACTGATACCAGCAGTTTTGACTTGTCTATGCAACTTGGCAAACTCCTTATTGAAGACAATCAAGGAGGAATATCTACAAGCACTCCATATAAGCAGATGGATCATAGCATATCAATTAATACTTCCGGCGATACTGTGGAGTGTGGTGAACTGAGTTCTGATCCAACTGAGGTACCTTTATCTGAGGAAGGAGTTGTAACCTCTGTTCCTCACTGTGAATTAACGGGAGTGGAAAGTTGTGACAGATGCTTTGCAGATGACAGATTGCAGCAAGCCAATAAAACAGGAATGGCACTGAACTCTGACACATTTTACTTCATATCCTCAAGAACTAAAATCAGTTTCACTGAAGCTCGGAGAAAGGCAACAGAAGAATCCAGTCCTGAACCAAAGGTTACTTATGATTCAATAGGTGGACTGAGTGGCCAGCTAAAAAGCATAAGAGAAATGATTGAACTCCCTCTGAAACAACCTGACTTGTTTAGACGTTACGGTAGGATATCAGTTTTAGTGGCTTTCTTGCTATAAATTACTTTAATTCATTTACTAAGTTTGTTCTTTCAGGCAATATAAAGTGCAGTTCATATGTATGTGCTTTTTATCCCCGTGAAGGATCATTAAGTCCTCAATGTGAATGTGTCTACATTCCACAGTGACAGCAATTTAATGCTTCAAGTGCCATTGCTTCCATTTCTAGAATCCTGAGATTTTTAATCTTCTATGCTGGCTAAGTCTAGTTCATGCTTTGGAGTACAACAAATACATTTTCATACGGCCCCAAAATATAATCCTAGGAATTGGCAGGTAAAGTGAGAGCGAACTGATTTTTTTCCTTCTCCTTTGCTATCCATGGGCCGAGTTCATATTGAGCAATGTTTGAGGATTTGGAGAAACACTGGGTTAGCATGAACAAGCTGCATATTAATACACGCAGCCATTTGCTCACACTTAGTTATCCCAGTAGTGTGACTGATTAAACATATTATAAATGCTGTCTTTGGTATATTGTCTAAAATAGAAACCTTGTTTCTTGTTCCCTTTACAACTGAGACTATATCTTGGTTAGCAATCTTGGCTGGTAATGAGAGTGAAAGGCCGACTTCTTGATGTAGGACATCACGTTGAACAAACAATTTTTTTAAATGTTTGTTTGTTTTACCCGTCACTCTAGTGCAAGGGTCCTCAACCCCCGGTCTGCAGACCAGTCACGATGCGGAGACAAATCTCCTCTCCCCCCCCCCGCATGTGCAGATGCACACACAGCCCTTTCCATGAATGGAGCGCCCCTCCCACGCACACACAGCCCCTCCCGCACATGCATGGACGCTAAACTGGTCTGTGGAAGTGAAAAGTTTGGGGACTACTGCTTTAGTGGAAAGAACCTAGGATGAATGAAGGGGCTGCATTCATGAACACACTGTTCACAACAAGGCAGGATTCTCTGGAATCTTAGTTTATGCTGTGTTCACACAGCATGCAAGATAATGAATCTGTTCTCACTTAAGAATGTGTGTTCAGGTAAGAGAAGACTCATTGAGTTCACCAGGAATATTCTCATACAACTGTGATTGTGAATTAAGTCCCTCTGTGTTCAGTGAGATTTGCTCCCTAGTTTCTGTGTTTACAATTACAGTCTTGGATCTTCAAACTTGGGTATGGTAAGTGCTCAAGTGCCATGTTGTCATTACCATAAATGATGAGAGAAAATTATATGCCCCTTCTTAAAACCGAATTGTGTTAATTAAAATCCAGACAGTATTGTTTATTTAAAACTGCTTTAAATAAGTTCATTTCTACAGCACAAGTGTACAACAGTTTTTTAGATGGCTGTTAAGGGAAGAATTTGTACTGGAGACACAATCCTTAGAAATAGGACTGGTCGACGATTCCTCTGTGGTCCGAGGTCAGATTGTGCATCTGAAATTATTAGAGTCATCTGAATTGTCAGTACAGCATGGTATCCTGATGATCCTGATTAGTGATGGGGTATTTGTATACGAATGCCCCTCACAGCTGGACGTAACGAGGGCCTGGCAGCCTTGCAGGGAGACTCGTCTACTTTCCTGCCAGGAGTGGCTAGCCAACCGAGAGCTCCAGAGCGATTCAAAGGGAGAGCAGAGCCGGCAGCAGCAGATGTGTGAGTGGACAAGTCGGGCCCCAGGAGGCTGGACCCTCGTTACATTCAGCTCTCTCTAATCCTGACCATTCATTTTAAAAGCTGTATTTTTTTTAGTACAAAAAATGGTTGCCAGCACAAATTCTTGCTTTTTTACACTCCAATTTATCTTCTGAAGGAATTCCACCTCCGAGAGGAGTGCTGCTCTATGGCCCTCCAGGTACTGGGAAGACACTGATAGCCAAAGCAGTTTCAAATGAAGTTGGGGCTCATGTCTGCACAATTAATGGTCCAGAAATAGTAAGCAAGTACGTCTGATGAATTTATACAAGTCTGCTTAGTATTTTTGACTCTTGCCTGAAAATAGGTCACTCTTAACATTTGTAAATAGAGGTGAAGGGATGATTAATGATCTGTTTATACGAGAAAGTTTGCATAATCATTAAGCAATTAAAGATGTGTGCCTGTATGGAGTATTGCATGGATAAGATGCCAGCTGCCTTGTAAACAGCCAGAAATTTTGTTGCTAAATGCTTTTTTTGTTTCGTTGCAGGTTTTATGGAGAGACTGAAGCCAGGTTACGACAAATATTTGCTGAAGCCTCTTTACGGTGTGCTTGGGCTCATTTCCTTTTTTCATTTCATATAGTTTAATTAGCTAAGTAGTCCCAACTCTCTGCCCTTATAGGAACATAAGATTCTCAGTTGAGATCCCTGTGATGGCTTCTGTATTCCTTAGCAGAGAATGACACAAGCTATGAATGATGTGGAGAGAGAGACAGAGGAAGAATCTGTTGCTTGTTCTTACAGTACGTGAAGTATCCCCAGGAAATCATCAAACAGTAGTTTAAGGACACATTACAGGAGGTAGATCTATAAATAAGATACCTTAGAGCTCAGAAAAAAATTACTTTTGTGGTCTATAACTTCTAGAATAACTCAGCCAGGATGATCCTTGCAATCTGCAAAAGTAACCTTTCCGTGTTCTGGATAGATCTCAAATATCGGGAATCTTCAGGTGTTGGTGAACTGTTAGCTCCCATCGTGCTTATTCATTGGCCAGACTAGCTGAGGCTAGTGAGAACTGGATTTCAAAAATGTTTGGATACAGACAAATGCATCAGCTCTAGATTATACTCATTTATGGAGGCTAGCTCTGTCAGAGATGATTAATAACTGTTGGTTAAGTAATTTGAAGGCAGCATACCTCTTCAATACCAATTGCCCGGGGTCAAACAGGAAAGATTTGTTTTTTTTTTCCTTCACACCCTCTTTGTGGTTTCTACAAGAAGTCTGGCTAACCACGATTGCAAACTATTGGCCTGGTCCAACATTACTTTGATCATAAATCAAGAGTTTTCATTTGCAGCGTGAATTTTCATAGGTTTGTGCATTTTTTATCACAGTTGGAATGCGTGGACATCTCTATATTTATATGGTTTGTGTAGCAGTTGTGTGTAATTTTTTATTCATAGTCTGCAGATCAATGGGACATACATCCTTGTGAATTATGTTGAAAATGACAGGCCAATGAAAGCTGGCATAACACAGTGGTAAAGCAGCTAACTGTAAATCAGGAAATGATTGGTTTTGAATTTTACCTCTGTCACGGTAGCCTTAGCCAAGCCTGTCTTTCTTGGCCTCAGTCCAGCCATTTGCAGCAGGGAGGACATCACTGGCCCAAATCCTCTTCACATAACTTTGCGTGATCTCATCAACTTTATTTTAAATGAATTAAATGCGTTCCTCCTCCTTTTGAACATATTACTTGATTTATATTTTGTATCTGTTAGGAAATCTTGCATTTTAGATGCATAAATTAAGTGCTTTCACCTGTTACTGGAAGTCATCCTCCCTCAACTGCTCCATGCCTTCTGTGGTTCAGCTCTGTGCTGGCCTGCCAGACCCTCTCAAGTAAATTTCATGTCCAGCATTTCAGTCTCTGTGTGTAAAAACATGCATTGTTCATGTCTTGGACATCTGAGATCACTGTGTAGGTATACAAGTGCATGTTCTAAAGCAGGTTCTCCTCTTCTTCTTTTTAAGACGACCATCCATTATATTTATTGATGAAATTGATGCACTCTTTCCAAAGAGAGAAGGGGTGCAGAATGAAATTGAGAAAAGAATTGTAGCTTCCTTACTAACACTGATGGATGGTATTGGATCGGTAAGTAAAGTACATTCGTGAATTTACTAGTTCTTGGAGGGTGAACCTAAATTCATTTATTTTTGTCTTCACAAATGTTTCTACAAGAAGCCTGACTAACCACCATCACAACTATTGGTCTGGTCCAACATTTCTCTGATCATAAATCAAGAGTTTTCATTTGCAGCGTGAATTTTCATAGGTTTGTGCATTTTTTATCACAGTTGGAATGCGTGGACATCTCTATATTTATATGGTTTGTGTAGCAGTTGTGTGTAATTTTTTATTCATAGTCTGCAGATCAATGGGACATACATCCTTGTGAATTATGTTGAAAATGACAGGCCAATGAAAGCTGGCATAACACAGTGGTAAAGCAGCTAACTGTAAATCAGGAAATGATTGGTTTTGAATTTTACCTCTGTCACAGTAGCCTTAGCCAAGCCTGTCTTTCTTGGCCTCAGTCCAACCATTTGCAGCAGGGAGGACATCACTGGCCCAAATCCTCTTCATGTAACTGCAAGATCTCATTAACTTTATTTTAAATGAATTAAATGTGTTCCTCCTCCTTTTGAACATATTACTTGATTTATATTTTGTATCTGTTAGGAAATCTTGCATTTTAGATGCATAAATTAAGTACTTTCACCTGTTACTGGAAGCCATCCTCCCTCAATTGCTCCGTGCCTTCTGTGGTTCAGCTCTGTGCTGGCCTGCCAGACCCTCTCAAGTAAATTTCATGTCCAGCATTTCAGTCTCTGTGTGTAAAAACATGCATTGTTCATGTCTTGGACATCTGAGATCACTGTGTAGGTATACAAGTGCATGTTCTAAAGCAGGTTCTCCTCTTCTTCTTTTTAAGACGACCATCCATTATATTTATTGATGAAATTGATGCACTCTTTCCAAAGAGAGAAGGGGTGCAGAATGAAATTGAGAAAAGAATTGTAGCTTCCTTACTAACACTGATGGATGGTATTGGATCGGTAAGTAAAGTACATTCGTGGATTTACTAGTTCTTGGAGGGTGAACCTAAATTTATTTATTTTTGTCTTCACAAATGTTTCTACAAGAAGCCTGACTAACCACCATCACAAACTATTGGTTTGGTCCAACATTTCTCTGTTCATAAATCAAGAGTTTTCATTTGCAGCATGAACTTTCATAGGCTTGTGATTTGTACAAAATGCCCCTATCTGTGGTTTCTTCTTCGTGGTCTCTGTGAATGCACACGAATGGGTTTAATTTGCGCCTGTGCCAGGACCTCTCGGAAATTTCTAGAGCTTAAAAACATGATTAGTGGGACGTTCCTTCGCGGAGCACATGCTCTGTCCACTTGAAGTCCCTTCAGTTCCTTTTAGCTGCCGCTTAGGTCAGACCTATCACGACAACTAGAGCAACTTTTGATTGCGATCGCTATTTCTCTTTGTGCCTTCTTAGGCTTCTTTATCCTATTTGTTTGACATTTCCTATGAGTTCTCTTCTGCTTTAAACTCCCCGTGGTTTCTTTTTTACTTCCATTTCCCGCCCTTCTTTTTCCCCCTTCCCTATCTTCCTGTGCCCTTTTTTATGCCCCCCCAGTCCATTTAAGTGGTGTGTATTTTGTACGAATAAGATCCTGCTTTCAGATGGCAACGACCGCTGCCTTTTTTGCCTGGGGGAGCAACATCAAACCCATTCCTGCCTGGAGTGTAAAAAACTCACCAAACTTGCCCTCAAGCTCTGTCTCCAACATCTCTGCTCTTTTCTCAGGGAGAAATCCCTTAAACCACCCACCGCTTTGATGGAGCCTACCTTGACTCCTGTTCTTAGACAGGAATTGCCTCGGTCTGTGTTGAGCCCGACCACTCTAGCTCCTAAACCAAAAGAGCAGTCTAAATCCTCTTTGTGGTCGAAGTTTGCATCGGCATCAAAGTCTTCCTCAACACGGGCTCAGACCTTAAGAAGGACAAGGGTGGTTCGAAAAACGCTAAGAAATCATCCAAGCCTGTTCCACTTATTCAACCTCTACTACACCTTCCTTCACCGATTCTGAAAGAGTCCTCCAGAGAGGTTCCCGACTCTTTGTCGGAGGCGGAAGATCCACTCCTGCTACCTCCAGGCCAGGCTCCAGTTTCTGTGGTGAGCCTTTCACCTAGTCTTGGCCCTTCGGTGGCTGATGTTCTCTCCAGCCCAACCTCGGCCCATTCTAGCCCTGCATCTTCAGGGTGGGCAACGATGGTTCAGCTTTCCAACTTCTCCACACCGGTCTCGCAAACGTGTCGAAGAGACGTCATGTTTCACCAGACTTCCAAGATCCTCCACCTCAGCTTTTCTACTACTTCCAGGAGCCTCTCGATATCATCTCCCGTCAGATTATCGAGATCCTTATTATGGTGAATATGACCTGTACCAGCATTGCAGAGCTGATATCGACCTGCATGCCGCATCATCCTATTACGATGATCCAAAGAGAGTTCAGTACGCATTTGCTTACCCACCCGAGCCTTCTCTGTCTCTGTCACCATCACCACCCTGACATCGACACTGGTCTCACAATTCCAAGCCTCAATCCATATTGACAGTTCCACTGCATTCCAAGTCAGCTCTCAAATGCACCTCCTCGCGTTCAGCCAAGCAACCTGTCTCCAAACGCTTCCACACATCTTCTATACCAGCTTCTACTTCTCTCTCCCAAGTACATGCTTCATCTCCTCAGGTCACTATCACCTACAAGGGACCTCCTCCCTCTTCAGCCTGACACCAACAGAGGGTTGTCGGCTCTTCCAGTTACTACAACCCAGAACTCCACATCCAGATCTCTCAACATCGGTTATCCACTTCCGAGATTCATCTCTCAGGAGTTGCTCTCTAACCTGCCCACTCCTGATTCCGATGTGGCAGATAACCACCAGCCTTCACCTTCTGAAGACTACGTCCTACTCTCAACTAGTGCTTCGCATGGCGAAATCCCTCGAGGTCGAACAACCTCCGCCTCCAAAACAAGATCTCATGTTCGATGACATCAACCAAGATAAAACCCCACCGCTCAGCCTAGCCTTCGTACCCGCTATGCTTGACTTGGTAAAAGAGTCTTGGGATAAGCCACCATCCTTCCTTCAAATATCCAGATGAGTGGAAAACCATTATAAAACTCATGGTTCAGATATCCTTTCTTACAAAGCATTCCGCAACCAGTTCAATCATTGTGGAATCGAATCAATCCCAAGCTCATAATAAAGCATCTGTAGCCCCAACAAATAGAGAAGGCACAAAGCTAAACATTCTGGGATGTCGTCTGTACTCGTTAACATCTTTCATCATACAAGTAGCTAATTACCAGGCTGCTATGGGTGCCTACTATAGGCAGCTCTGGAACAAGGTCCTCCCAATATTACAGGCTGCTCCAGAGGACTCCAGGGCTGGAGCTCTTAACATCCATCTAGAAGCCTCCACCCTGGCTAAACAACAACGAAAAGCTGCTCGCCATACTGCAGACGCTGCCTCCAAGGCTATGGCTGTCACGGTTTCACTTAGGCAACATGCCTGGCTTCATTTGGCCAGCATCTCCCATAGCAGCTCTCATAGCTGATGCCCCATATCTCCAGTTTCATCCTGACAAGGTTACCCTATATCTAGACATTTATTTCCTACCTAAGGTTGTGTCAGAATTCCACTTCAACCAGCCTCTTGTCCTTCCTTTCCTCTTTCCATCTCCAACATAAGACCTAGAGCACATGCTCCATATTCTAGATGTCAGATGTTCCCTTGCTTTCTATGATGACAGGACTAAATCTTTCAGAAATCTCCTCGTCTATTCATCTGTTATCATGGTCCTCACAAAGGTTCTCTGGCTTCCTCCCAAACTTTATCTCGGCAGATAGTTCAGGCAATTACCTTGTCCTATGAACTGGGGGGGGGGAACTGCTACCAGAAACTGTTAAGGCCCACTCCACCAGGGCTGTCTACCTCTACCATCTTTTTCTGTGGCATAGATGTCTCCAACATTTGTTGAGCAGCTACCTGGTCTACCCCCTCAACATTTGTGACTCACTGTTGGCTGGACGTCAGAGCAAAGAATGAAGCTGGCTTCAGCAGAGCTGTTCTTACCCCCTTTTTGACATGACGTCCCACCAACCGGTAATTGAGCTTGCTAGTCACTCATTTGTGTGCATTCACAGAGACCACAAAGAAGAAAGAGAGGTTACTTACCTGTAACCATCGTTCTTCGGTGTGGTCCTCTGTGAATCCATACATCCTGCCTGTCCTCCCCTCTGTCCATCATGTTGTCGTCTCTGCAGTGTCTACTTTTCCAACAGTGGTGGACTTTTTAGGGACTGAGGGGACTTCAAGCGGGCGGAGCATGTGCTCCACGGGGGAACGTCCCACTAATCACATGTTTTTAAGCACTAAAAAGTTCCAAGAGGTCCTGTGCAGGCACAGATTAAACCCATTCGTGTGGATTCACAGAGGACCACTCGAAGAATCATGGTTACAGGTAAGTAACCTCTCTGTTTCGTGCAAATGTGATAGCAGAGTTCTACTGGAATGGAGCTGGGAATTTTTGATGCTACAAAAATTAAGTCCTGTTCTTTCTATTGAGATTGGGCTCTTAAAACTTCCTTAATTCATCAGGCTGTCATCTGTAATGTCATAAGATGGTGGTGCTCAGTAAGTACAGTAAATGTTATTTGATTTAGTCTCTCTGTATATTGGAAGTACAGTGGTGCCTCGCTTAACAACTGCCTCGCTTAACGCTGTACGATTAGGCTTTTGCAATCGCAAAACATTGGTTTAAATGTTTTTTTTTCCGTTTAACAATGGTCGGTTCCCTGCTTCGGGCACGGATTTTTCACTTTATGACGATCAGCAAACAGCTGATTGTCGGGTTTCAAAATGGCCACCGGCTGATGAAAATGGCCCCCCGCTGTGTTCTAGGACGGATTCCTTGCTTTACAGGCACCGAAAATGGCTGCCATATGGAGGATCTTCGCTGGACGAGCAGGTATTCAGCTCATTGGAACGCACTGAACAGTTTTCAGTGCATTTCAGTGGGTTTTTTAATTTTGTTTGATGATGTTTTCGCTCTATAGTGATTTCGCTGGAATGAGTTAACATCGTCAAGCGAGGCACCACTGTATAGGAAAAATGATATTCCAGAGTACCATCTTGTTCTGTCGCTGTGACTGTGCACTTCATAAGTATCTTAGTTATTTTATAGAACTGTCCTGTAAAGTGCCACAGAATTCTTTATATCCTTATTGAGAAGTAAGCCCTGCTGTGTTCAATTGGTCTTGCTCCCAGAAAAGTGCACCCTTTGCAATATTCATCCAGTGAGGTTCATGGTGAAACCCATGGGTTGGGGGTCTCCCATTTCCATGTGCAGTGCCCTTTCTCACCCCAGGTTTACTTCATTGTTCCTGAAACTGTAAAGCTCTCTTTTGTTGGTGTTTTAGGAAGATAACCAAGGGCAGCTCCTTGTACTTGGAGCCACAAATTGTCTCCACACACTCGATCCAGCCCTGCGAAGACCTGGGCGCTTTGATAAGGAGATAGAAATTGGGGTTCCCAATGCTCAGAACCGGCGGGATATCCTCAGTAAGCTTCTTAACAAGGTTCCTCATTCGCTGACGACGAAAGAGTTGACTCAGTTGGCTGACAAAACCCACGGATATGTTGGAGCAGATCTAGCCGCATTGTGCAAAGAAGCAGGTAAGGGAAGCACCCTTTACAAAGGGAATCCAAGACAGCTGGCATACTCTTTAAGTGGGTTTAGGTATTATGGGGCATTCAGAATGATGTAATAGTAGCTTATATCATGCCAGAATGAATCCTTATGATCTTATTTCCAAATCTTAAGCAATGAATCTTGTTTTTTAGAAATAACCATAGTTTATGTCTGAAAACAAATCATTAATCAGGATTTGTGTATGGAAAGAGTGATAGTTGTAAGTCACGGAAACTAAATATCTCTCAAGCTGTTTTGGTTGAACCTATTCTATTGCAGCATAAAATAAAATATATATATTAAAGACAGTATTGTAGTAATGACTGGCAGCTGTTGTTCAAAGGCACATTATAACATGCTTGTTTCAATACTGGAAAAAGATAATCTGTACATGGGTTTTGGTGACATGGAAGTACGTTTAAATGTAATTACTTGAACTGCAAAAAAAAGCAAATACTATGTAGGCAATGTGATGGCTTACATAATTCTAATTCGGGTATGTTTCTTTTATGTGAATTGTGTTAAACACGTTATTTTCTATTTGGTGTATTGTCTAAAATGCAGCTAAGTTTTCTACAAGTTCAGAGGCAATTGCACAGTGATTTCCCCTCCCACAACATCTGCACAACATCTTGTGTGCTATATCCACTCATGGAAAAGGCTTCAGGAGTTAACCTTGAGGCAAAATCCGGAGCTGGAGTCCCAAAGGCAGCATGTGTCGTTCTGCCAACTCCTGCGACATTGCTGGAACCAGTTGTATTGGCTCTTGCCTTTCCATTGGACCATTTCAGCAATGTGGAGAGGGGGGATCTGCTGCTTGGGTAACAGCCTATCCTCCATATTACCTTACCTGGGCTTCATGCTCTGGAGAGGACACTCCTCGGTTCAGAGCATGTTACCATAGTCTCTCGAGACTGAAGGATGCCTATGCTATGCTATATGCTAATGTGATGGCTTACATAATTCTAATTTGGGTATGTTTCCTTTATGTGAATTGTGTTAAACACGTTATTTTCTATTTGGTGTATTGCCTAAAATGCAGCTAAGTTTTCTACAAGTTCAGAGGCAGTTGCACAGTGATTTCCCCTCCCACAACATCTGCACAACATCTTGTGTGCCTCATCACACAACTGTTACATGATCAAGCTGCCAACTGCAGGGTGGAGGAGGGGAGGCAAACATTTGTCTACAGTTGTACAAATGAACAGGATTTTCCCCTTTGTTAGAATTAAATCTTCACATTAAAAACAGCAGGGATTAATGTAAGCAGCTGGATACTCTACTGACTGAAAAATATATAAGCTTTGGATAGAGAATGATTTTTCTCTTGTAATAATTAAGCATCAGTAATTATACTGGGGTGACATCTAGTGGTGGAAGGTGAGTTTTACCTTCTGTGGCCTAAAAACATCTGCCACATGTAAAATAACACTCTGAGTATAGAATCTGAGTATAGATGGCATCTTTAGATTTAAGAATTTGCAGGGAGGCAGAAAAACACATTTATTCTACACTCTGTGCATTCTTGCTCTGAAACTCTAGCCAGTTCAGTTGGCTTATTCTGCTATTGTAAAATACTAACTTTAATGCTAACATAATAAAAATTATAGAAGATGAGGCCTCTTGAGTTCTTACTGTGAAATGTTTTCTTCTAGTATGTATAGCAAAAACTAAACTAGAAGAGTTGCACCTTAAAGACCAACATTTATTTCAGTGCAAGCTTTCATGAGTTACACAAAATTCTTCTATAGCAGTTGTGTGTCAGAGTTTAAATTGCACAGAGATGAAGTGTTAACCTTTCAGGTTAGGAATAGCCCAGCTTTTTAAAAAAACTGTGGAGACTTCAAGGTTAGCTCTTCAATGCTTTGCACTTGAAGTTTGTATTTTGAACAGTTTTTAAGACAGCATTAGAGTTGAGCATGCCAGACTGATTTTTCTCCCATTAAAAGACAGGGTTTTTTTTACTGAGAAATGTTGTCCTTTCCTACTGCTGTCTTCCCTACACCCTTGTCCCTTACACCATCCTATCCCCCATGAATCTTGTTCAGTTTTTCTTTCCTGTGGAAATTTTGCTCTGATGCTTGGCTTACCATTATCTGTCTTCTTCAAAGCATCAGTCGTAGGGTGTCTTGAACAATCTGTTTTGCAAAAATTGTATAAGCTCCTTACCTAAAATGTGTGTTAGCTTCTCAACTTGGGTCTTTTAAAGGCAAGAGATATTAATAAAAATGTTCAAGTGGAAGGTGGAGGAATGCTACAAGCTTTGAATTGGTATCATAGCTCTCTGTTGTTTCCTTTTCTGACTGGAATTGATCTAATTTTGGGGGTTTTTTTTGCCATAATGCAGAGTATTTATTTTTTAATTTTAGGAAACTGCTGATTTTTACTACTGAATGTCTGTCACTACTGAATGATAGTATGTTTGTATTCTTTTACAGTCATGTTGCTGTCCTGATTATCTGTCCAGAAAGCATTTTATTTCACTAAATGTTTATGGTAATAGAGGGACTACCAATGGATTTTTTTAAAAAACAGCATAATGTGACATGTTAATTAGGTAGTGAGGATGTGAATGAATAAACAGTGTTGAGTGTTCTGCAGTGCTTAGCAACATAGGATTCCAAATATAGTATTTCATTATAAACTTGTCCTTCTAAGGCTGCCTATAGGTTTTGAAGAGAAATGGATGATAAATATAACTTTCTCTTCCCCCCAGGAACAGAGAAGGACCATTTTGTTTAGAGTGGAAGGAAATGCTGGTTTGCAAAATGTCTGTGCTTATCTTTAAGATGATAATGACTACACTATGCAGACTTTAAAAACGTGCAAATGTTGTAAGACAGAATAAATGAGGAAAGGAATAGTTGTTATTGTTTAGTCGTTTAGTCGTGTCTGACTCTTCGTGACCCCATGGACCAGAGCACGCCAGGCCCTCCTCTCTTCCACTGCCTCCCGGAGTTGGGTTAAATTCATGTTGGTTGCTTCGATGACACTGTCCAACCATCTCATCTTCTGTCATCCCCTTCTGCCTTCACACTTTCCCAACATCAGGGTCTTTTCCAGGGAGATGGCCAAAGTATTGGAGCCTCAGCTTCAGGATCTGTCCTTCCAGTGAGCACTCAGGGTTGATTTCCTTTAGAATGGACAGGTTTGTTCTCCTTGCATTCCAGGGGACTCTCAAGAGCCTCCTCCAACACCACAATTCAGAAGCATCAATTCTTCGGCAGTCAGCTTTCTTTATGGTCCAGCTCTCACTTCCATACATTACTACAGGGAAAACCATAACTTTGACTATTCGGACTTTTGTTGGCAAGGTGATGTCTTTCCTTTCACTTCCAGGCACGTCCACAGCTGAGCGTCCTTTCGGCTTTGGCCCAACCACTTCATTAGCTCTTGTACTTGTCCTCCACTCTTCCTCAGTAGCATGTTGGACACTTTCCGACCTGAGGGGCCCATCTTCCAACGTCATAGCTTTTAGCCTTTTGTTTCTGATCATGGGGCTTTCTTGGCAAAGATACTGGAGTGGCTTGCCACTGCCTGCTCCAGGTGGATTGCGTTTAGTCGGAACTCTCCAGTATGACCTGTCCATCTTGTGTGGCCCTGCACGGCATAGCCCATAGCTTCTCTGAGTTACTCAAGCCCCTTCGCCACAACAAGGCAGCAATCCATGTAAGACAGAATAAATGAGGAAAGGAATAGTACACGTGCTTTTTCTCTGAAGTAGTAGTTGTGGGACAGCTGCTGATTGATACTGTATTGTGCTGACCTATTGAGAGTTCAAGACAGAAACAGTATTCCATATCACATTGGTGACACACATGCAGCTTGCCCTTTGTTGTTTAGTTGCATCAGGGTCAGCACACATTCCATTCATTCATGCATACTTACATTCTGTGTCTAGCTAACTATTGCAGACATTGCCTTCCCTGCTGTCTTTCAGAACCTCCAAAACAAAGCTTGAAAACTTAGTTTTTGGAATACAATTCCCAGAATCATATCTGTGAAGATTCCTAGTCAACCAGGTGAGGTTATCTGGAAGATGAGTTGTGGCAACTGGGCTTCTTTATTATATTAGATTGAAACGTTGCACTACTCATCCAAGAAGCTACCGTGTTTCCCTGAAAACAAGACAGGGTCTTATATTAATTTTTGCTCCAAAAACCACACTAGGGCTTATTTTCAGGGGATGTTTTATTTTACTGTCATGTCATCTGGGTGCTGCACAATGCTGCACAATGGTGGAGGGCAGGGTTTCACTTAACTAGGGCTTATTTTTGGGGTAGGGCTTATATTTTGAGCATCCTGAAAAAATCATACAGTGGACCCTTGACTTACAGACGGCTTGACTTACAGACTTTTTGAGTTACAGACTTCTCTGGCCGCAAAATTTAGGTTTGACTTGCAGACTGAGATTTGACTTACAGACCAGAAAAAAAACCAAAATGGAACAAAAATGGCCTGTTACGGGAGTAATCGGTTTTCAATGCACTGTAGGTCAATGGAGACTTGACTTACAGACTTTTTGACTTGAGAACCGCCTTCCAATACGGATTAAGTTCTCAAGTCAAGACCCCACTGTGCTAGGGCTCATTTTCAGGTTAGGTCTTATTTTCAGGGAAACAGGGTATTTGGATGACTAGCAAAACGTTTCAACCTAATAAGAAGTCCGGTTGCTATGACTCAACTTCTAAATTCCCAGAATCCTTCAACCACCGGCCCCCTTGGCTGCTGGCTCAGAATTCTGGGAACTGTGCCTTCTTGAAGTTCTAGTTCAAAGTGCTCCCTAAATTCTTCTGAATTCAAAAGGCATCTGGGTAAAGTGATGTGTGAGAGCTGAAGAAAAGAAGTGAATGGTAGTGCTTAGGGGGTTTATGAAAGTTAGCCCCTGAAATATTTTAAGGTCCTATACTTTTAGGTATATTTCTGAATTTTACAAATGTAACCATCAACTTCTGTCCATTTTCACCAGGTTTTAATAGATTTA